CGCGTCCCGACCTAGGTGCATTTTAACCTCGGTAGCAAGACGCGGCGCGTCCGCTGGGGAGACGGGGATGGCACCCCTGTAACCAAGGAGGTTAGAAGTACTAGGAGGGGGCACGTTGCAATATTGGTGACGCCTAGTCATAAAAAGTTTAAACGATTTTGTGGCCAGCGTGACCGCAGATCTCTCTGGCGATTGGTGCGCGTGACATGTCACGTGTAAGATGGATGGTTGATTGTAGAAGGACTCCTTGTAGGCTTGCGCGCGCTCCGTCCAGTACGTTTTATCAGGTCGAAGGCTAGACTGCGGTGTATTCTAGTACACTCTTAGAAAAAAGGGTATGGATAGTCCTCCCTTAGGGGAGGAACGGTCTTGTAACCTATGTTCCTTTAGAAAGGGAGAAACTTTCGTCCCTGAAGCAGGGGAGCAAAGTTCCTCCGTCGCTTGCATCTCAATATGGCGGCCCCGAATCGAGCAAATCGAGCCCAATAAGGCTTGACGAGGACGCTACGTCTCTTGTACGGGACGAGAGGAGCAGCAAATAAAAGCATAACACGAACTTTCCGCGAACTGTGTTTATTTCCGAAGCCAGATTCCCGCCACAGGCGTTTCGAAAGCAGTTACTCAGTCTTCTCGTCGACAGCACTGCGATGTTAAACGGAGACAACCGATACCCAGTTACTTCGCGCACTTTGCGCACTTTGCGTCTTACCTTAGGTGTTCCTCGAGTCACAATTCCTTCGTCAACAGTACATCACGGAGAAGGGCAAACTCAATCCGCGAACCAAAAGTTCCAAAAGCCGCTCTCGAAAGAACAAACTCGAAGCCGCTGTTTATTGCATAGCGTGAAAGGTTGAATCGCTAGCCAAAAGATGGCGGGCTAGCGGGTTCAGGATCTTTTACTCGGAGAAGCAACTGGAGATAGCAACCAAACAAATTGAGGAATTAATTTCTGGCGATACCACAGCAGAATGGACTTACACAAATTTAATGAGATTATTTGAGCGAGAGCTATCCAAGGTCCGACCTAGAGAAAAAGGAAAAGGAAGGCATAAACCCAAGAGCTGGTGGGATGGGGAGGTTAAGAACGCCATAGAGAGACGCCAGGAAGCATCCAGGGAACACAGACATTCCAAGCAAAGGGGGGAACCACTGATCTCTATGACAATTGCTGGATCGCGCTTCCCCGCTTGTTCGCTGCAGCGCAACTGAAGCCACCGGGCTTCACTCGCTTGGGATACGATTTGCCGTTTTTGCTAGCCTTTGCTGCGGTTTTCCAGCGTGCTGACGACACGTTTTCTACTCGTTCGTCGTCATTCGCCGAAGAAGTTTTTTGAAGACTCTGTGTATTGTTGAGACTTGCCGTTGTGAACACGTGGAAAATTTTACGAAAGTGCAGTGTCGCAGGAAAAAGGCACAACGCGTCGAAAGGAAGGGCTGGCGGCGTGTTCAAAGCTTCCTTGGCACGCCGAAGTGCCGTGTCTCTGTGCCTTCGCACGCTTGGATACCGACCAAGAACCGACGCCGTGTGTATGTGTTCAGCGAGTGCAATGTGCGTGAAGCTGTTCGTGCCTCTGGATCAGCGTCTTTTCCCCTCGCGGTTTAGGAACGAGCTTAATCCAGCGTCCACTAGCGACGGAAGATGGAGAGAAGGTACGTCTTTTTTTCGTCCTGAGACGATTTACACAATACCGTGCACAACAGCTCCTCATCACTGATCAGTGCTGGCTTATTATCAACCTACTTAATTGCACTTGACGTTTGAGCGCGGCTCGCCTAATTGTAATTGGTCAACAGATTGCACACGACCATATCGGCCGCGCTTCAAAGATTTTCATTCTCGCCGTCTTGTACTTCTGCTTTCGAAAACCCCCCTGGCTCCACAACGTTGCCCTATTCGTGCTCCCACGGAATCTATTAGAGTAGATTTGGGACATAGCCATGGTTAATATAGTACATAAGAACACGTACAGATCTCCCCCTTTTATTGATTGCAACTCACCGGAACAGCTGGACGATCCAGAACTCCGTGGCCGATATATATAAATGATCTAAAGGCATCTACGCGCGACACATGTTCAGAACTTTGGCGCGGCGTCAATTCTTGACCGGTATCCAAGCGTGCGAAGGCACAAAGATGCATCACTCGGCGTGCCAAGGAAGCTTTGATCACGCCGCGACACCGGCGACACGTTTTCGACGAGTTGTGCCTTTTGATACGGCTTCACGCACATTGCACTCGCTAAACACATTCACACGGCGTCGGTTCTTGGTCGGTATCCAAGCGCGCGGAGGCACAGAGACACGGCACTTCGGCGTGCCAAGGAAGCTTTGAACACGCCGCCAGCCCTTCCTTTCGACGCGTTGTGCCTTTTTCCTGCGACACTGCACTTTCGTAAAATTTTCCACGTGTTCACAACGGCAAGTCTCAACAATACACAGAGTCTTCAAAAAACTTCTTCGGCGAATGACGACGAACGAGTAGAAAACGTGTCGTCAGCACGCTGGAAAACCGCAGCAAAGGCTAGCAAAAACGGCAAATCGTATCCCAAGCGAGTGAAGCCCGGTGGCTTCACTTGCGGGAGCGGCAAGCGCGATCCAGCAATTGTCATTGAGATCAGTGGGGGGAACCAAAAGCCGAAGTAGACAGAAAATGGGATAATTTCATAATTTATAGAAGATAGCATCCTGTTTAATCAGTGAGAAAATGAGAACAAGGGGGTCCCAATGGTTGTCAAAAGTGCACAAAAAGGATAAAAAGCAGCCAAGAAATTTCGGAAACATCTGAACTCCATGAGTAATAAGACAAGTTTAGAACAGAGGTTTATAGTTACAGCTCAAGGTACTCGACTGGAAGGGGATAAGGCAATGCAGCATATAGGGACAATGATGGCGGAAAAAATTTAAAGACCGAAGGAATGAGGCACATGCTTTATCGCAGGAGAACAGACCGGTAAGTGCTATGGATTCGTTCGGACAAAGAGAATGGGAAAGGGCAGAGAAAAGAGTTCCTAGTAGCACATCGACAGGCCCTGACGGTATTCCCATTATGTTAATCAAGAACTTGGGCCCAAAATCTAAGCAAGCATTAAGAGAGGCAGTAAATAAAATGGTAACGGATGGGAAAGCCCCCGATGAATGGAGACTAAGCAGGATGAGCATGATATATAAACGAAAGGGGGACAAAGCGGACATAAACAACTATCGTCCTATAACGGTGACGTCAGTGATTTACAGGGTGGTGATGCAGATTATAAAGGATAGACTGCAGGCATGGGTGGAGAGCGAGGGGGTGCTGGGGGAGCTGCAGAATGGGTTCCGGAAGCAAAGGAGGTTAGAGGACAATCTGTTCTCTTTAACGCAGTGTATCGAAATAGCAGAAAAGGAACAAAGGCCCCTATGGCTAGCGTTTCTGGATATCAAAGGAGCCTACGACAGTGTAATTCAAGAGAATTTGTGGGGCATACTGGGTACATTAGGGGTAGAAGCTGGAGTAACTAATCTTTTAAAAGATATATATAATAGCAACAAGGTGCGTATAAAATGGGAAACAAATGTATCGGAGCCTATAGAGATAGAGCGGGGGCTTAGGCAAGGCTGCCCTTTGTCGCCTTTGTTGTTCATGTTATACTTACAGGGATTGGAGAACAAACTAGAGCGGAGCCGGTTTGGCTTCAACCTTTCTTTCATCAAGCAAGGTGAATGGATTAAACAATCACTACCGGGGCTGATGTATGCAGATGATATAGTGCTAATGGCCGACAACAAAGAAGATTTGCAGAAATTAATGGATATCTGTGGTACAGAGGGAGATAAACTAGGTCTTAAATTTAGTCAAGAAAAATCGGCAGTGATGATTTTTAATGATAAAGATGGTGGCGAGCACAGGATACAAGAGGTCATGTTGGAGGTAGTGGATAAGTACAGGTATCTTGGGGTACGGATAAATAATGGTGTTGAGTATCTAACGGAGCATGAAAAACATGTAGCGATGAAAGGTAGCAGGAATGCAGCCGTCATGAAACATAGGGCTCTGTGGAATTACAGTAGGTATGAAGTGGTGAGGGGGATTTGGAAAGGGGTCATGGTTCCCGGCCTGACCTTAGGCAATGCGGTCCTGTGCATGAGACCAGATATTCAAGCAAAGTTAGAAATTAAACAGCGGGGCGTAGGTAGGCTTGCTTTGGGAGCTCATGGAAATACGCCGAATCAGGGGGTACAAGGCGACATGGGATGGACGTCATTCGAGGGCAGGGAAGCTAGCAGCAAGATAGAATTTGAGGAGCGTTTGAGGGAAATGGAGGAAGAGCAGTGGGCTAGGAAAGTTTTCAGTTATTTGTACATGAGGAATGTAGATACCAAATAGAGAAAGCGAACTAGAAAATTATCAAGCAAATATTTGGGCGGCAGTGGGGGCGCCAACCAGGAATTACGGGTTAAGAAAAGGATAAAAGAAACAGAGAAGGGTCTGTGGGAAACGGGTATGCAGACAAAACCAACACTGGAGACGTACAGAATGTTCAAACAGGAAATTTGCAAAGAAAATATCTACGATAATTCTAGGGGAAGCTCTTTGTTGTTTGAGGCCAGGACAGGAGTATTGCGGACTAAGACGTACCGGGTTAAGTACCAGGAGATGGACACCTTATGTAGTGTGTGTGGGGAGCAGGAGGAAACGGCTGAACACTTAATACTTTTCTGTAAAGGGCTTCACCCAACAGTTAACAGTGACCGGGCGGATTTAATCAAAGCATTGGGTTTTAAAGACAGTGAAGGAAAAATAGACTTTACACGGGTAGAAATAACCAAGCGGAGGTTATCAGACTGGTGGCTAAAATCGAGGCAGGGGTGAGATTTAATCTTGGCATTCAAAACATATAATTAGATTTATAATGTTGGCTAGGTGGCACAAGCCACCGCCCGATTCACAGGGTTTAGCCAGATCCATCCATCCATCCATCCCGCAGAGTAATTGCAAGTAGCTAGGCTAGGTGGCGCCAATGGTTGCAGAATATGTCGCCCAAAAATGGCCGACTCCTTCGCTGGAGCCTAGCTTTGCAACAGTTTTCTTTTGAGGTCAGGTACAAAAAGGGTAAACTGCACACCAACGCGGATGGCTTGAGCCGACGCTCAAAAGTGAGTAGAGAAACTTCTTTACTGAGCGAGCTCATGGATACCAAAATTTTACTTTATTTTGCTAAACAATTGTACCCAAGCTGGGATACAATTGATTTTGGTTTCGTGCCTTTTGTTGCTCTCTTGCGGGTGCCGAGCCCTGGTAGGGGTTTCGTTTTACTTACGATCTTGCTAAGAGCGATTTTCATACCTTTTAGTGCCTGGTGTGTGTTCGAAGGGGTTTGCTAGATGCGCATTTGCAGTGCGGTCTTGGTTCAATTTTATCATCCTCTCAAGATTTTTCGCAAGCTGCCCCAAGCGCTTGGAGATGAGCAGAGAGAATGCCCGGCACTCAAGAAAAGCCGGAGACGGTGATCCACCTCCTTATCGGCACTACTGCGGTCCCTCAAAGGAGTGGCTGCTGACCTCTTCTCTTCGGGACCGACTTCCGGGCGGCGGAGGAACTGTTGCGACGGCCTTCACTGGGGGCTTTAAACTAAAAACAGAACGAAGCCACGAGACCATCTGGAATCGCGGGCCCTCGCAAGGAGAAACACCGGCGTACGTGTGCGTGCCTGTGTGTGTGGGGGTCTGTCGGTATTGAGTTTCAGCAAGAACGTCGCCACCTTACATCAGCCACTGGAGCGCGGCAAGAACGTCGAGGGATTACATCATCTGCCCCTCGCTGAAAGAACACCGGGAAATTGCCTCAGCCGCCCCCGCACTTCGGACACCTCGTGAACACTCGAACACCGGGGAAGGCTCCTCTCTCTCAGAGGGCCTTCTCGCCCTCGAAGGGCTATATAACTTGGGATTGGGGAGCCAGAAATCGCCGACTGCAGACTGCCGATTGCCGATTAATTAGTCGACCATGCTCTTGTATATTCACTGCATATAAAAGTTCTCCTGGAGTACTCTCACTCCAGGCCTGTTTCCTCGGGGCCATGGTAGCAGCGAGCCGCAGCCCCAACTCTTGGTTCCGCGCCTGAGGTCGCGCATCAGATGAACGTACATCGAGCACATACACGGCACACACAAATATCAATACAACGGAGCACCACACTAAACCGAACACTACACCCGTTGATTTTGATTGAAACGTTTATTTAATTTCCATGCCTCTGGTCTATGGAACCTCATGTGGCATGGGGGAAGGGGGAGTGGGAGAGGGGTAGTGATATGATGGTGATAGATTAGACGTACCGTCCGATCCCGGAGGACCGGAGGTAGGAGATGATTGATGCGAAGATGAGATCTCGTTCTGCGGGTGCTGAGGTTCTCGGATGCGTCCATTCCCGAAGGGTCATTGGTCTAAGGTGCGGTGGTAGGGTGTTAATTGCCGCTATCCGTTCTAGTGACGTCCCTTCACAGGACCATACAAGATGGTAGCAAGTCGCAGGGAAACCACAGTGTGGACATCCAGGGTCAGGACCTGTGTCATTCTCATCTGTTGACTTGTATAACTTGGCACGCCAAAAGGGAGTCACCATAGTCCGAGTCTGGAGCCTGTGTAGTGCCACTTGCTCCCATCGTGGAAGCCCGCGAGGGATCGGGTGGGGGTTAGAAGGTAGCAGCGCTGCAAGGCGCGCTTTTCGTGCTCTTTGTTCTTCCTTCTTCTTTTGGGTTAGATCAAAGCCCTCGTCAGGTGGAACGTCCCGTTGAACGGGCGAGGGGACCGGGCCTTGTGAGGGCTGAGTATTTGCCTGTAGCAGTGCCCTCGCGGCCCCGTCCGCCCGCTCGTTCCCTGGAACGCCTGCGTGGCCCGGTATCCACGCGATGGTGATTGTTTGTCGAGCCGCGGCTTGACGAACCAGTTCGCGGATGCGCGCAACTGTAACGTTGCATGTGCTCGACTGCTGTAGTGCACGCATCGCCTCATGGGAGTCGGTGTATATTCGAGTTTCTGTAGTTTCTGCTCGTGGCATGTTCGTGGCTGTTTCAACGGCAAACAAAACTGCCAGAAGTTCCGCCATGCAACTGCTCCGTGTACATGCGGTAAGCTTGTGGTTCGTCTCTTTGCGTGTAGGGGAATGCCAGGCAATCGCAGTGCGGCCGTTGTTGTCTCTCGCCGCGTCCGTGTAGAAGACATCCACGTGCGCGGCAAGCTTGCTGACTTCAGCGCGGTGGATGGCTACTTGTGTAGCACGTCGTCCAGGGTGATCAGGTCCTTGATGACTTGGGAGGGGCTTGATGGGAGTGACTGCCTCTGCATCCCAAGGTGGCGTCGGTGTGGGCATGAGTGGGCCGTCAATTAGGTCGGAACGGCCAATCGAGGCAAGAATAATTCGCCCGTGAGGAGTGCGAGATAGCCGCTGAGCTTGGCTTATCCGCATCTCCTCGGCAATCTCACGGATGGTGTTCATTTGAGCGGTCCTTTCTAGCTGTTCAACCGGTGTGAAGCGGGGGAGCCCTGTAACGACCCGCATGGCCGCTCTCAGCATGGTTACTAGTGTGGTTTCTTGAGTATTTGTAAGGCGGAGGTAGTTCAGTCCGTACACTACCTTCGAGATTAGGAGGGTACGGACGAGTCGCCGGAGGAGATCATCCTGTGCACCCCAGGCCTTGCTCGAGATAGCCTTGAGCAAGTCTAGACCCTCCTTCCACTGCGATTTTACTCTCCGAAGCCAAGTGACTGCACCGCCTTTGTGGTCAAATGGGACCCCGAGGATTTTGACGGAGTTGTTCTGGGCGATGGGGATTCCATCCACCCTCAGTTGGATGTCGGTACGGGCGCTCCTGCGTCGGCTGGGTATAACCATGTACGTAGTCTTCTCCTTAGATAACTCCAACCCTGATCGGATGGCGAAGGTCATGACAACGTCAAGCGCGCTCTGCATGTAGCGTTGTTGGCTATCCGCCCCACCTGCCGTCGTCCACAGGGTGACGTCATCCGCATAAATGGTGAAGCGAATTTGTGGGATGGCTTCAAGGGCGAGAGCCAGGTCAACCATGGCGATGTTGAATAGTAGCGGCGACAAAACCGCCCCCTGTGGAACACCGATATTGTTTGTTCTCCATTGACCTTTAGTTTGTCCGATAGAAACCTGGAACGTGCGATCCTGTAGGAATGTTTTGATGAAATTCAGGAATCGGCCCTGTATACCTCTTTTCTTTGCGGCGGCCACGACTGCGCTGTGTGGTATCGAATCGAATGCCTTCCGTAGGTCAATGGCCACGAGCGTACGCGGTTGGCTTTTAAAAAGCCAGCGCTGGTAGAGATCATGATGTATCATGAGCAGGCTGTCTTGTGCCGAAAGGTGAGGTCTGAAGCCCGTTTGCATGGGATGGAAAGCACCCGTCGATTCAAGAATCCACGTCAGGCGTGTTGTGACCATGCGTTCTAAAACTTTGCAAAGGTTGGACGTCAAGGAGATCGGGCGGAGGTTAGCCACCGCGTGTGGTGTCTTGTCGGGCTTTGGGATAGGGATCACTGTAGACCTCTTCCAGTCGGATGGGAGTTCACCGTTCACCCAAATGGTGTTGAATGTGTCAAGGAGCTCTTTCATGGCATCTTGTGGAAGGTTCCGGAGCGCTGTGATGGTCACACGGTCTGGTCCAGGTGCCGACTTTGCTCGTGCCGCGCCAAGAGCGTCCAGGAGTTCTGCGAGCGTGAAAAGGGCGTCCGCCGGCTGTTCGTGCACGATGGTTTCCCGGGCGTAGACTTCGGCGGCGGGTGGCTCGGGCTGTTGGGGGAAGAAACAATCTCCTGCCTCTTCCGCAAGCTGCTCTTCCGTGATGTCAAGGCGGAGCGCCAGATTGCTTCCGGTGTTGCACATTTTTGTTTTCCCGGCAAGCCCTTTGTAGGCTTGCCACAGCTTGCGGTAGCCTGTCCGTTCGTTAAAGGAGTCGCACAGGCTACGCCAGATAGTGCGGCGGAGCTCGATTGTGTATTTTTTGGCCTTTGCTGTCGTGCGATTTAGGCGGATCTTATTCCTTAGGGATCTCCTGGCTCTGTAGCGCTGGAGAGCCTCCAGTCTCCTGTCCCACAGCTTGATCAGGTGCAAGTCGGGAGGTGGTGTGTCTTCCTTGACGTTGTATTCCGCACGGGACTCCCGAAGGGCTCGCTGAATCCGGTCTGCGAATGGGACGTTGGCAAGACGGCTCATTGCGGTGCCGAAGTTGTCCCACTTTGTGAAAGTGACTCGACGCCTGGGCGAGGAGCTGATGGGGAGCTTTATGCGTATAGGGAGGTGGTCACTGCCCCATGGATCAGTCTGGACTTGCCATTGCGCCTGTAGACGTGGAGAGGCCCAAGTGAGGTCGGGAGACGTGTCTTTTTGGCTGGCGACTTGGGCCAGCCGTGTTGGAGTGTCAGGGTCGTTGCATAGATGAAGCCCAGCTGCGAGGCATGCTCTCTTGATGTGCTTTCCCCTGGCGTTTTTGTTCGGGTATCCCCACGCGGTATGTCGGGCGTTGAAGTCTCCAGCTAGGATGGTATGCTTGTTCTGTTCTACCAAGCCCTTTATCCAATTGACCTCGTTCGAGTCCCCGCACGGTCTTATGTATGTGTTATGTATGTTGATGGATGTGTCTCCAAACTTGACCCGCGTGGAGACGACTTCGCGGTCATCAGAACATGACGCCTCGGAATTCAATTTTGCCTGCTTGTGCTTTTTCTTTATAAGTGTAACTACAATACCGAAATTTGATGTCTGTCTTTGTATACTGGGGTTAATGTAAGTGTTGTATCCCCTAATTTTAAGATTCCTGACGTTAGCCTCCTGAAGAAGAATAACGTCAGGTGCCTTGTTGCTAAGTATTGACAGACGCGTTTTGAATTCATGAATTTTCTGTTGTAAGCCACCGCAGTTCCATTGCAGGATCCATGGTTGCGGGTTCACTCGAAGCTTGTTGCGCTTGTGGATGTGTTTTGCCCCTCGGGTGTTTGTATGTGTATGAGAATTACTATCCGTCACTGCGAGTGCCTATGAGTTTGTGGATAGCCGCCGTGAGCTCGGACAGCTGTTTTTCAACTCGCGCAAATCCCGCGTATTGAAGCTGTAGGATTTGCGTCGGCATGT